ATGAGCGTCAACAAATAACAGGTGACACTTGAATCATTTACTATTTTCAAAGCGCAGCAGACTGTCGCCACCTTCATTTGTCATCACCCTACAATGCTAACAGCTCCGAGCGGCAAAAACTTCCTATGGGAGGAGCGTGACACGTCTGCCAGCTGGGAAGGTTTCAAGCGTCATGGCGCTAGCTGTGCGACGGCTGAAGAAAAAGAGTCGTCTTTTTCTGTCAACTTGTAGAAATAAAGACACTTTTACGGACTACTGCATGCCTTGACTGCATGCGCTGATGAAACGGGGAAGTCAATTGTTTGTGTGTGTGTGTGTGTGTGAGTTTTTTTAGCGTTGTGAATAAGAAGATAGATATTCATCTACCGGGTGGCCCAGAAAAAACGTTCCCAATTTTAAATAAATATTTCTCAGAAAGTGATAAAGATACAACATTGAAACTTCAAATAGTCAATCCGGCATATATTTTCAGGAAATGGTATGACTTTTATGTTATTCGGTCGATTACTTTTTAAACGGTTCGTGTTTCTAGCACATGCCAGGTAAAAATCACTTTTTTGCTCAGATGTTTAGGTACTAAAAATGTGAGTGAACGGGCCACTTCCATCTCGGCACCACGGCCTGCAGTCATGACTGCTACTGGCAACTAGCCTCATTGATGGTTCAGGCCTCAGGGTGACACATTCCCTCTAGCTTTTTTTCCTTATTCGGTCGATTTACTATTTGATCTTCTTGAAGGGAGGGCGATCGGCAGTAGCCCATGCACCGTATTCTCTTCGAAACAGGACTTGTGTTGAAACGAATGACATCCATTAACGCAATTTTGGCTTAGCATTTGAATATTTGGCACATAAGTGGGACAAAAATATTTAAAATAACAGCACACGTGCTGGTATCATTCACGTGTTCTATTTTTCTAAAAAAAAAATTAACATGGTACGTCTAAGCCAATCATTACTACCGTTCAACAACGGCAAAAAAAAGCAAAAACGTCTTACTTAATTCAACATAAGATTGCTGGCTTGAAAATGATGGTACAGTGTTATAATTTAGCACACCAATGCGCAAAGAAGTGACGCAAACCTGACGAAAATTTTGGCTCGTTATTTGCACTCGAATTTGAGATATAGGCCTCCAAAGTTCGGAACGTTTTTTTTTTGGGCCACCCGGTATACCTATCGCTGTCGATGTTCACTTGTTCAGCATGCCTACGTCTTCGGTTGTTTGCATTGTACCGTGCATATCTGCTTAAAAATCAATGATTTAGCATACGACGAGGAACGCTTTTGATTTCGACAACACAGTCCACTGTCCAAGCGTCGGAATACCTGTATAGGTTGAAAAAACAACATGAAGAACACATTTGCAAGTAATGGAAATAGTTCCATTAACTATAACTCGAAACTTCTTCATCCACGCCTAATGTGAGTGTCTCTTGGCACGATGCTCGCACGGTAAGGACTAAGGAATAATATTTTCGAATGTGAAATAATGAAAATAAGCGACACTCCCGGGATCTAAAGCTCCCTATTCGACCATTACCATCAGCTCAGCCGGAGGCTGAGCGCCGCCAAAGAACCCTTCGCCGGCTCCTATATCGAGAGAAACATTTCGCTTGTTTCGTAAGCTTCGCCAACGCCCCCGCAGTTTTATTAGCCATCTATTGACACACACATATGTTCTTTTCCCCAAAACCACTCCCTAGGGTAAAATATCCACATCGAAATTAAATAGCACCAAAACAGCGCGTAGGGTCGGCGTCCAGTCAAGTCGGTAAAAGGAGACCTCGTCCATCTACTTCCCCTCCTGAGCCTGCCGCACGGGTACGAATGAGCGCGTGGTCAAATCACCCCCGGGGGCACCAACTGACACCTCGCCCGGGGCCATATCTCACTGACCTCTGACCCCGCGGTGCCCGGGGGCGCGGGGTGCGTGGCCGAGGGAGGGGGGGGGGGTGATTTGTATGGCCGTCTACCCTCTCCGTCTGTATGCAGTGGGACAGGACCGGTCGACGGCTGCCTCCAGTGAGCGATGGGATGGTGGCAGTGGGGAGGAATTGCTCTCAGAAGCACGGCGGAGAGGGGAAGGGTGGCTGGCGCCGGCGTGTTTTATCATAATCTGGGAAGGGGTTTTCTTTTGGTTTCTGGGATTCTTTTGCGGCTCTGAAATATGTGACAGTACATAGATTTGACATTATTCCCTGGGCCCTATATCACCGCAAACTTATTGTCAATATTTTATAGGCGAGCGTTAAAAATTTCGCATGTAACGTCACCCTGCAAAATTAAAGTGAGTTTTCAGCCGCTGCTTCCAAGTAAAATAAGAGCGACTCACAAATCAAACATGCATCATGAAAGAACTTTGTTCCCATGCCTATCTTTTCAGTCTTTACCACTCAGCCTTGCGCCGCTTTACAGAGCACATGGGGCATTCCACGTCAAATCGAACAAAAATCGGCTGTTTTGCACCTTACCATCAGCGATTTCATTATAAATTTGTGAGCGAGTTCCTGTGTCGCCCCGAACATTACATTGATGTTTTTTTGCACATTCTGACCACAGGTCTTCTAAATATAGGGCATCGAATTTTTACAAAATGTTGCATCTTTATATTTTTGAACGACCATAACTTTGGTTGTACTTGTTTGATTTGAATGAAATAAACCTTACTGTTTAGGTAATTTCTTAAGCATTTGTTTAGAATTGCACCCACTTAAATATATGACCTTGAAATTTGCTTAACTCTATTCTTAAGCACAAAAATTGAAATAGCAAAAAACGCGTCACCTTCGATTTGGCTAATTTTCATATATTTTATTGCCTACCATATTCTTAACAACCTCTGAAAAAATTAGAGTGGGCCATTCATAAGTTTTGAAGAAAATGGCACATATGCAAACGTATGTTAGCACGCGCAGTGGAGGGGGAAGAGTGAACTTCGCCCCACCCCTCCTGTTTTTCGCCAATATCTCATAGTATTAATGCGAAATTAATTATAGCTACCTGTCCAAAATTGAATTGCACATCTCATCGTGCAAGCAAGAAGAAAATCGGTTCACAACTGGTCTAGTAATAGCGGTGTAAAGTGAACATCCTGTCCTCGGCAGCCGGCGCCGACCGCTAGCCGCCGCCTGAATTGTAGACTGTGCCGGGACGGAACGGAACGGTTCCGTCTTTACATCGCGCTCCTTACCGCTGATTACGTTCGATTCGCGTCAAATTTTGTGAGAAGACTAAGAAATGTACAGGCAATATTATGGTGTAAGAATTTTGAAAATCGGTTGGTAAACAATTGAAATATGAACGTGTAAACACAAAATTGTGATTGCTGCGTTTCCCGCGTCGGCCGATCCCGCCTCAGCCCGCGACATGTTACTCTTAGCAGGTCTCTAACTGCCATATTTATTATTGGATTAACTAGAAATTCCCCATACATACTCAAAAATGTATATTCTTTTGTATAGTGAAGATAAAAAGACGTGAAGATATCGTTGCGTGATAATGTTTTCGTTGAATTTTTGGCTTCATGATGCATTTCCATACGGCTCAAAATTCACCGCAAAATACCGTTTGCCTCAGATACTTTTACTATGGAACATGAATGTTTGACTACGATGACTATGTATTTCCATTCTCGCAGAGTTTGGGATATCACTAATCAGCAATCATTCATTTCAGAAAGTGTACACAAGCAAGCATGTCTTGACTCTCTTTCAAGGTCACGCGCGGTTGCGTGATGTTGATGCATGAAAACGGCGTTTGCCGCGAGAGTTATGAATGGCCCACTCCAATTTTTTCACAGATGGTTAGGAACATTGTGACGGACATAATATGTAAAAATTACCCGAATCGAAGGTGACGTGTTTTTTGCTATTTAAATTTTTACGTTTTAATTCAAGGTCAAATGCATTTCAAGGTCACTTCAATTTAATTTTATAATTAAAAATTAAAGCCTTATCAATTGCCTACAAGACCCTGTTAGTATCATTTTGATACCAGAAAAGGAACCAGAGTTATAGACATTTAAAAAATTGATGTGTGGCATTTTTGGCTATATTCGATGACCTATATCTCAGCGATACTTTATCAAATTTCGAAAATATTATACGTAACTCAGTTTTGAACCATGCCCAGTCTGCCTACAAATTTTCAGAAAAATCGAAGGGAATGACGGATTTCGGTGTTTGATTTGACGTGGAATGCCCCACCTGTTTTTGAGCCGCTACTCCCTCATCTGCTGAGTGACGCCTCGTGGGGTCGTGTGCTGGGGGGGGGGGGGGGGATGAGGGGCGATGACGGTGGCTGTACCTGGACCCATGACTGCAGGCTGGCTGACACGGCCGCCCATAAAACAGTCATGAAGTGCGTACGTGGTCGGCGTGGCAGACGGCAGCTGGATGATCCGAAAGCGTGCAGTCGGCTACGGTTGAAAGCTACATGATGCCGATTTGCGTCAACTCCGAGGATGTTACTTAAACTATTTAAACTAACTACTACGAATGGTAGGTAGATAATTCACAATAAAATTAAGCGTCTGTTAAAATGCGTTATAAGTAATGGGAAGATGTCATGAAATGTTAGGTACCTACCTAACAATCGAGATCAGATCAGTGTTAAATGTGTCGATCAAAAAGGATAATAATGAAATGCCTCTTAATAGAATATTTTCTCAAATAAGTCCAAGTATGGTGATCAATTCGGTTGGCTTTATGCCGTCTTTTCTACCTATATCCATTCGACAATCATTTGCTCTAAAATTTGTCCCTACTCCGAGCTCCGCTTCACAGAACTTCTGATGATTTAATGGAACGAGAAAGCAGAGACAAACTTTTCCGTAACTCTTTCTTTCGTGACGCAAAACAGTTGAAGTAACTCCAGTCAATCGTCTCGGTCTCAGTCTCCATTGTTTGCCCGTCCAGCCAGGGAACCCACCAAGTAGTGTGTTTCACCACCAATAGATGTCACTAGCAGTCCCGCCGCCCCGCTTCTCCAGGCTCAGCTGGCCACGGCCGCCCGCGGGCACGGAGCGCGCTGCGCCGAGGCAGTCGTCAGTCGCCGGTCGTCGGGTGGGGTGCGCGCCGATCGTCTGTGTCACGTGGTGCGTGTGGTGGCCGTCGGTTGTTGTCACGTGGTTAGCTCCCTTTGGGTGGACCTCGGGAGCAAACAGTGCGTTTTCGTCGTGTGCCAGCGTGGCACACCTGTGTTTAACCATCTGACGGTGTCGTGTCTTGCCGCCGGAGGCAGTGAAGTGTTCGAAATCAACTGCATCGACGTTTTTCTGTGAACCTGCAATTGCGAGTACCAGCGTTGATTCAGCTCACCGTGTTTAATCTCGGGACCGAAGAGCATCGGAACCCTCCGATTTGCTGCCGGACGTTCTCGGTACCGTGGATCTCGCGTGACCTCGGGGTCAGGTCACGGCCGGTGGCGATGGGCCGGTTCCCGGCTCCCGGCCGCCTCTGGAGGGCCGGAGCCCTGCTCCTGCTGATCCTGGCAGTAGTACACACCTCCTCAGGTGAGTCAGAGTCAGAGTCAGAGTCGGGGCTGAAGCCGCGGCTGACTCGTGCTCCTTTCCAGGAGAATGCTAGTCAGTAGTCACCTGTTGCGTAATAACTCGGCCATGAATCGTCGAACCCTTACTCTTCCTGAGGACTGTGACTCAGTACGCCGAGTCGGGGTTAGAGTCACTATGGGATCGTGCATAGTACAAACGTGAGAAATAATAAATTTTCCCACGGGACACGCAGTCTGAATAGGCCAGCCACCTGTGGAGCGTAGCGTTGCCACTCGTCCGTGAACCGGCGGTCGCACCGTTTAGTCGCTCGCCGCTCACTTTACCCTCCGGCCGCTGTAACAACCTTCTGCGGTCGGCGTCTGTGCACTGTTTATGCATCACTGAACAGACTTCTCTGGTGTTCATTTGGTCCTCCGAATAATACAGTCAGTCTGGTCCGAAACAGCCACATATGCAGCGATCGAGCCGGATCAAATCACGGCCCTTCAAAGGCGGATGATGGGGGCCATCTGGCGTAGTGCAGCGCTGCCTTTTATGTAGAATCATCGACTGATTGCATGTCAGAGTATCCCGGCTGGTACGTGCCTGGGCGTATTACATGCACGGCCGTGTGTGCTTTATTTCTGCTCCTAATGGGCTGGGCGTGGGATCTGCAGGGAGCTTTGTTTCGCGGTCGGACGGTTAAAGTGGCGAGGGGAATTCTAACTTTACTGGACGACTTCAGAGACTGCAGGCTCGCGTTTGGTTGGTGTTCCCCTGGCAGTGTTCCAAGTCATGGGAACTGAGATACCGGCTCGACGGGCTCCCCTCAGTGCTCCAACACTTGCAGTCGAGTAATTAGAACAAAGTGCTCAATGAATGCTCGGTTGAGAAACTAACTCGCTGCGCCATATATTTCGGCCGAGTCTTGAGTTGATAGTATGAATTACTGCAGCTCGCCATTTTAACTGTCACTGACGGACTTGCCAGCCCACGGTGGTCCATATGCCCGTCTGGAGCTGTGCGTTACCAGTACCACCCCGTATCCATTCCCTCCCCGGACCCACGGTCTGGTGTAAATTACCTGTTTCAAATTGGCGCATTCCACCGTCGGGGGTCGGCCCATGGCGGCGGGTGTCGATTCCTGCCATGGCCTCGCCACGCTGGTCGTACGCCGGTCTCATTTTACCACCGCCATGGTAACGACCAATAAAACCTGTCGACACGTCGCTCCTTTCCCTGGTGGTATTATACCTACTGCAGGTAACCTGACACTTAAGCGGTCGGCGTAGGTAAGTACCAAACGCATGTTCCAGTCGAGGAGTTGGCTGTAGTCGCGGGTAGTTATGGAATTGCCGTTCGCTGTGACGTGGTAGGCGTTTCATACTCACTCCAACGGGCACTGGCGCTCTGACGCTATCAGAACTGGTTCTTGGTCGGAGTTTTGCCGGGCCGCTGACCGGTTCTGGAACAAAGGCCCAGTGCTTAGTGCACGTCCGGCCGCTGATACTCCCACAAGTGGATAGTTCCTTCCTCTTTTCCTGTTTTCCACGCCTCTCGTCTTACGTTTGCTTCGGTTGTCAGAACTGGCAGTCCACGCTGCATTCAGTTGAAGATTTGAATTAGTTTCGCTCCGGCTTTGGGTGCGTCCGTGTCTACTTAAGATTCCGCCGCGCGCTTGTCGGTTGCTGAGCCGGACAGGCTGCATGCGAATTGCAAATTTTGGTGCACGGTGCATGCAACGGCGCCGTTTTCGGACAATGCAGCCGGTGGCGAGTGACTGTCAGTACCCTGTGCCAGACGGCAGTTGCCCAATCACAGTTCGGAGCTGAGACCGTGAATTTACCGGCTTCCCTTCCGCGGCGCGGTGGCGAAAAAATGCCGCACAATGCTTTAAAGTGAAATTCAAGACTCCGGTGGCGGTGACTGGTGACCTTGCTAGTTGTTTCAAAATGTGATGGACTTCTTTCTTAGAGATTCACTTGCCGCTTTTTTACGCCAATTTGGCGAGTTGCTGTTGTGGATGTAATGCATTGGAGATCGTGTGATTCCAGTTACAACGACCATTGTAACCCATTACATGGCAAGTGACCTAATTGCGTATGACCCGATCTGCGCCAAATATGCTTTGCGTATAAAAAGGGCATGTTAGGGAGAGGCTAGATAAAATACAGTTCGGACTTGTCCTGTCAGTAAGGGATATCTACAACTTTTCTTTGACAACAAAATGTCCACCTACTTCACCTGGTGTTCTCCGCCCTTGTGCACAGTGCAAGTGGCGCACGAGATGCAGTTGCACGGCCCTATGTGCAGTACCCGGCGTGTGCACGTGGGTCAGAGCGTGTACACACTGCACAGTCTCCGCCTCATGTCGCCGCGGCTGCACACCCGTGGCGTCTGTGTACCGGTCGACCCACATTCTTCCCCGACCCTGTGAAAACTGGCCTTTATAACCGACGCCGAGCATTATCTGACCCTTTCATCTGGGCTGGGTCTCGGCCGCCACCGGGCGCTGTCTCAACAGCGGGGGAGTTGGTCATACAGCAGGGGGAGATTTGACCTTACAACAAGAAACAGACGAACATTATTTCGTTGGGTGGTAAACAATTTACAAGCTATATCGATTTGGCAGGAACAGAAATATGTCGCTCCCGTTTTTATATCATGGTAATTGGTAAGGTAAATGATTTGACGAGTGCCATTACATTGCATATATGTAAGGTTGTAACATTTCTTCTTGGGTGACACTTATGCCTGCAAGCCTTCGTGACCAACTGTTTTTTTACGCTGTTTATTGGTAATCTCAGGATGACTCAATGGTTCTGAGTCACATGCCTGATGCTACCTCTTACTGCGAAATCGGACAGTCTTTTGCAGAGGGTAGTCCCTGATTTTTTACTCGCTGACATGATTCAAATTCATGTATGTATGACTCGCCTGCAATTCAACTAGTGCGATTGCAATATGCGTCACATATTTGGTATTATAGTTCCGTGTCATCGCGTCCTTTGAACCGAATTCTCGCGAAATGCCTTTGCCTCCAATATTAGCTCTTGTTTTCGCAATGCATCCTGCTTAGGGAAAACGGACATTATCAAGTTCTCGGAACTATCGGTTTTTTGCACTCTGTGTTCTGTCTTCGACGCACGGCCCCTGCCAGGGTCTGGTCGCTCCCTATGTCGCGATAAATTGCTTGTGGATGCTCCTGTTCTCTCTCTCTCTCTCTCTCTCTCTCTCTCTCTCTCTCTCTCTCTCTCTCTCTCTCTCTCTCTCTCTCTCTCTCTCCCCGCTCCATCACCCGCCTCATCTCTCTCCGCGGCTCACACCACCACGCCTCTTTCTAGTCGGCCGCTGCCGATAGCCCCTCGGCACATTAATACGCTCACGCCCGAAAAATCCTGCCATCGCAATGCGTTTGTCTTCCTATCTCCCCATGTTTATTCCATTGTCGACTGGCCAACATTCCAGGTTTGTTTTTGTTTCCTGCTTTCAAGATTTTATCACGTCAACCTACATTTGGTTATCACTGAATCTGAATTTCAATGGGGCCAAATATTGCCTAGCTCGGTCGCCTTTGGCTCGGCTGTGATCCGGGGCTTTCGTCACTATCCGGCGCGGGCTCGTTAATTATGGACGTGATGGCCCGTTATCCCTGACAGCTCTCTCGGCTATCCTCGAACCGGGACGTTTTGCTGAGCCGTGGTGTCAACGGTCGTCACCGCTGTCACCGGCACTGTCACCAGTATCGCCACCATCCAGTGCTAGCTATCAAGTCCGTGATGTCATTGCTGAGATTTGTGTCTGATTCCATGGAACTGGCTAGTAAAGCCACATCTTTCACTTAAAAGTCGCTGTGATAGTGCACTACTGATCCGACCGCTCGTGATATGAACAGATGTGGGACCAACTGGGTGCAATACCCCCACCTCGTGTGTTTACTGTCCAGTTTCCTTCCATGACCGCCTTCAGCTTCCATGAAGACTAAAGCTCACACGTGTAGAGCCAAGCCTTTTCTGACAAGAATTGCGCCTTATGTTACAAACGAAGCAAAACCTGGCAGATCTAGCACGTCTGCAAATCTTATGCAATTGCTGTATATCCTGCAAATCGTCTGAATGTGCTGGATGTGTCATGTGTTTATATGGTGCTACCCGACGACACCCGAGGGTGGCTGAGTTGCAGAGCCGTGAAATGTCCAAGCTGCCGCCAGGGACAGAGCGCCAGACCGACTGACTGCAGTCTGGTCACCGCTGTTACCGTCTCGGCCGCTCAAACAGCCTGGCATTGGCCAGACGAGTGAGACACTTCAGGCGATTGTGCCTGACCTTCTGCGGGCAGTTCTGTCACATCCTGTCAGATCTGTCTGATTGGCATACCTGATTACGAGCGAGCGAGCGCAGCGAGCGAAGTGAGTCTTTTCAATGTAACGGAAAAATCTCAGTATGAGCGGCCCGGCCCGGCCCGGCCTGTAACGCTTTTGAGAGGCTTATATCTCAGCAACCGCTGGACCGATTGGCCTGCGGTCTTTTTTGTTGGGTAGCCCCATCCCTTCTACCCCGTAATTGACTACTTTTGATACATCTCAGTGACCATCGTGGCACGTGCCAGTTGCCACTGCCACGTGAAAAGTCAAGGGTGTTCAAGCTGTTTTGCAAAAGTAGTGATTTTGAGAGGCTCATATCTCAGCAGCCGTTTGGGCGATTGACTTCCGGTAATTTTTGTAGGGTAGCAGCATCCCTTCTACACAAAATAGGATACTCTCGATGCATGTGGGTCACCCCCAGTGCACGTGCAAAATACAACAATAAGAGGTGCCAAATTTGTTCCCATTTCAGTAACTCGGTAACTACTGGGGCGATTTCGCTGAAACTTGGCATACAGGTAGGCACCCACCAGGCAATGCATTCCCATGTGTTGCGGTTAGGGTGCTACTGCACGTGCGCACGTGCAGGGGGCGTTTCCAGATCTCGAGAACGGCTGGGCCGATTGCGCTCAAATTTGGTACACGGTTGGGAACCAGT